CGCATTTACAAACAAACCTAGATAGAATTGAGCACCTGGGAGATCACAGTTGGTGGGCTGAGATCAAGGAGTGGTTCTCTGGATGGGGAGCTTCATGGAAAAAATTACTTTTTAGATTATTGTATATAAATATTAGCGGAATGTTTTGTTGTTACTTGCCTTTACTGTTGGGGTGGGTTTTGCTTACAATGCTTTACAAAATTGGAACTTCAGGCCCTGGTAACACTATCCACACGTCTGTCAGTTTGTCATACTGTGGAGGCTTGCATGTTGCTGTGATGCTGGAAGCCATGCCACTGGTATTCAAATACCAGCAGGGTCACCCATGGTGGACAGGTTTCAGCTGAGCTTCCAGACTAAGACAGACTAGAAAGAAGGACATGGTGGTCTACTTCTAAAAGAATTAGCCAGGGAAGACCTTATGAATAGCAGCGGAACACTGTCTGATATAGTGACAGAAGAAGAGCCCCTCAGGTTGGAAGGCACTCAAAATACGACTAGGGAAGAGCTGCCTCCTCAAAGTAGAGTTGACCTTAATAATGTGGATGGAGTCAAGCTTTCAGTACTTTTATTTGCTGAGATGGCATGATTCAAAATGAGACGAAACAGCTGCAAACATCCATTAGTAATCGGAATGTGAAATGTAAGAAGTACGAATCTAGGAAATTGGAAGTCATCAAAAATGAAATGAAACGCATAAACATTGATATCTTAGGCATTAGTGAGCTGAAATGGACTGGTATTGGCCATTTTGAATCGAACAGTCATATTGTCTACTATGCCGGGAATGACAACTTGAAGAGGGACGGCCTTGCATTCGTCGTCAAAAAGAACATTTCAAGATCTATCCTGAAGTACAATGCTGTCAGTGACAGGATAATATCCACACGTCTACAAGGAAGATCAGTTAATATGACTATTATTCAAATTTACCCACCAACCACTAGGCCAAAGATGAAGAAACCAAAGATTTTTACCAACTTCTGCGGTCTGAAATTGATCGAACATGCAATCAGGATGCATTGATAATTACTGGTGATTGGAATGTGAAAGCTGGAAACAAAGAAGAAGGATTGGTAGTTGGAAAATATGGCCTTGGTGATAGAAACGATGCAGGAGAGCGCATGATAGAATTTTGCAAGACCAATGACTTTTTCATTGCAAATACCTTTTTTCACCAACATAAACAGCAACTATACATGTGGCCCTCACCAGATGGAATACACAGGAATCAAATCGACTACTTCTGTGGAAAGAGACGATGGAAAAGCTCAATATTATCAGTCAGAACAAGGCTAGGGGCCAACTGCGGAACAGACCAATTGCTCATATGCAAGTTCAAGTTGAAACTGAAGAAAATTAGAACAAGTCCATGAGAGCCAAAATACGACCTTGAGGCTATGACACCTGAATTTAGAGACCATCTCAAGAATAGATTTGACACGTTGTACACTGTCATGGATTGAATTCTGTCCCCTAAAAATATTTGTATCGATTTGGCTAGGCCGTGATTCCCAGTATTGCATGATTGTCCACCATTTTGTCATCTGATGCGATTTTCCTATGTGTTGTAAATTCTATCTCTATGATGTTAATGAGATAGGATTAGTGGCAGTTATATTAACGAGGCAGGACTTAATCTACAAGATTAGATTGTGTTTTAAACCAATCTCTTTTGAGATATAAAAGACAAAAGCAAGCAGAGAGTCATGGGGACCTATACCAACAAGAAAACAGCGTCGGGAGCAGAGTGTGTCCTTTGGACCCAAGGTTTCTGCACTGAGAAGCTCCGAGACCAGGGGAAGATTGATGACAAGGACCTCCCTCCGGAGCTGACAGAGAGAGAAAGCCTTCCCCTGGAGCTGATGCCCTGAATTTGGACTTCTAGCCTACTAGATTGTGAGAGAATAAACTTCTGTTAAAGCCATCCGTTTGTGGTATTTCTGTTACAGAAGCACAAGATGACTAAGACAAACACTAATGACCAAAGACCAGATGAGTTGTGACATGACATCAAGGACATCATACATGAAGAAAGCAAGAGGTCATTAAAGAGATAGGAAAGAAAGAAAAGACCAAAATGGATGTCAGAAGAGACACTGAAACTTGTTCTTGAACATCGAGTAGCTAAAGCAAAAAGGAAGAAATGATGAAGTAAAAGAGCTGAACAGAAGATTTCAAAAGGCAGACAGTATTATAACGACATGTGCAAAGACCTGGAGACAGAAAACCAAAAGGGAAGAACATGCTCGGCATTTTTCAAGTTCCCTGAAAGTTCCCTAATAAAAGCTAGATGTGATCAGTCTGGCTTTTTCCACCTCTTTTTGGAATCCAGCCTGTGCCCTTAGAGCCACTCCTGCTGCTGGTCTGGTGGGGTGCGACACAGATGGGCTATTAAACCTTTGTAGACAGGGTGGGGCCAGGGTCCCCCTTTGGCAAAAAATCAAGTCAGGACTTTGGATACCATTGAGGAATGTGCTTGGGGGGTGGGGAGGAAGGGGTTGAAGAGAAGGGGGTTGGAGGAAGCACTGAGCAGCTCCGAGGGGAGGTTTCCCAGCATGGATACTCCTAAGTAAGAGCTGGGGTGCATGTGCGGGCGAAGGGGAAGGGTGGTTTTGAACCCCGGGCTTTCCAGCCCCAGGAGTAAGCTGAGCTCGGGACGGCGAGTTCCCAGCCTCCGATGCCAGGCGTGAAGGAAGCCAAGTCAAAGCTGACGTCACAGCCATCGCTCCCCGTCAATGACCCCTCCAATGTGCCAGGAAGAGTCAGGACAGGGGGACACAGAAGGAACAGGAAGTTTGGAGACCCGGCTCCAGCCACAGACCCTCCTTCTCCCACGTTGCGGTTGCGGAGCCCTCATCTGTTCCCACAGACTCACCAGTGAGATGCCCAGGGCCAAGGAAGCACCAAGGGCTTGTCTTTGTCAGAACTGGGAGACAGGCCGAGCTGGGGAAGGGAGCCCACAAGGGACAAGGTAGGACAGGGGCTTCAGCGGGAGGAGACGTGGGCTCAGGCCCCTTCCCCCTTGGGCCTCAACCAGTTGGGTCTCGCCCTGCTGCAGCCACTGGTTCCAGCCCCGTCCCTCAGGGGCCCCCAGACCACACCCTGCCCCCCTACAGCCCCTCACAAGCTCCACACTCCTATGGAGATGCCTTTCCAGCTGCACTTCTCCACGGCCCAGAGCTGCCCCTCCACTCTGCACCACTGGTGGTACCTACGGATCCCTGACACGTGCACACCCCAAAGCAGGTGCCCATGCGGTTCCCTGTGCCCTGCGCCCTGAGTGGCCACACGAGGCACTCACGGAGAGGCCGTGAGGGGCGGGAGGGCAAGGTCAGCGTTAGGTTTGGACAGTGGGACACCAGCCTCAGGCCCTCAGTGAGGGCAAAGTTGTGGCCACAGTGGTAGCCACCAGGCACCTGAGGAGAGCGGCCCCCAAGGCCGGCTGCCTGGAGCGCAGGAGTCTTCCAAAGGAGGCGGTCAGTGCGCCCAGAGCTGGGTGGGAGTAGGGCCACACCCTGAGCTGCTGCTGCTGCTGGAGGCGGGGCAGCCAGCCCAGTGTCTTTCCGGGAGTAGTCATAGACACAACCAAACCTTGGCCTTAGTCCACTTGTAAAAAGGGACAGCGTCCTTGCCTCACACAAGAAGTGAAGATAAACACAATGAATGCATGCCTGGCACGAAACGAGTGCTCCAAAGAGAATGCACTTGCTGTACGGACATGCACCCGACCACAGAGGCTGCACGTGCCCTGTGAGAAGGTGCAGGTAGGGATTCACCAGTGATCGGGCTCAGTGATCCCGAGACCACCATTTCAACGCCCTCGTCAGGCCTGAGGTAAAGCAGGACTACACACACACACACACACACACAGACACACAGACACACAGACACACACACACACACACACACACAGACACACACACACACAGACACACACACACACACACAAGGACAGAGACCCTACCGGGCACGGTGGACCTACAAGCTCACACTACCTGATCCAAGAGCCTGGGGAGGGGTCCTGCAGAATGGGCCCCAGTGCCCATGCTCTTGCCCGGTCTTGTCCCAACTGCGGACAACAGACCAGTAGCCTAACGCGTCCTCTCTGCCCCAGGAGAGCACCACACTGCCCGGACCAGGCTGCCGACAGTCGGGGCCAGTGTGAGAGGACGCCGGGCTTTGTGTTTCTGGCCTGAGGCTGCAACATCCACCTGGGAGCAAAGCTGGGCCCAGATTCCACCGAGCTCTGGGTTGTCTTGGCCTGGCGGAGCCCACGGGCCAGTGGGGGTGTCCTCACGTGGGGAGGGCCAGGGTGCCAGGGCACTTCTGGGGCCTGAGGTGTGGGGGCCTGAGACAAGAGGTCAGAACACCCCTGGGGGTGCTCAGGGATGGGTCAAGGTATCCCTGGAACGCTGTGTCTGGAGGTGGGAACAGCAGGGGGGAAGCGGTGGACCACCCAGGAGCTCTCAAGAACCAGGCACCAAGAGGAGGAGAAGATGCCGGGGAAGTGGACCACCCAGCCCCCACCACCTCACATACTCAGCTCCCATCACAGCCACCTCCTTGCCGACACCACTCTTGTTGGCGACAGGGACACATAAAACAGGCAGAGCAGTGCCGCTTTGAATACAAAACTGTAAACACGAGTCTTTAAAATGACAGAGGTCTCCTTGGGCCCAAACGCTTGGACAGAGGCCTCTACCGGGGTCCAGACCACCGCCCACACTGTCCTTTCCCACCCAGATGGCCCAGCAGGCAGGCAGGCCGCCTCCGCTCAGTTCCAGGACCCGCAAACTGCTCCAAACCCTGGGGCAGGTGGGAGAGCAAGCGAGGTCCCGAAGGATTCCTGAGATGAAGAAGCATCCGCGGCCCCCAGCATGGGGCTCACTTCCATGCCCCCGCGGAGAGCCCACCCCACCCCATCCCATGCAAACCGCGCGGCACCCGGCTGGCATCTTTCCACCGCAGGGCCGTCCCTGGGGGCCCCGCGGGCCCTGTCACGTGTCCAGGGCGTCCCGCGTGGGCGAGGGCCCGTGGGGGCGGCCGGGAGGGCCATGCAGAGGCGGGGGCGGGGGCATCGAGTTGCGCTGTGGCGGCGGCTGCAGCTCCAAGGCGAGCGCGGGCGGCGGGAAGTCGCGCACCTGGCGGCGGTACTCGAGGAAGGTGCAGGCCTTGGTGGCGAGTGCCACCACGTTCTTGCCGACGAAAATGGCCGAGACGCGGCTGTCGCGGAAGAGAGCCATGTTGGCGGCGCGCGCCAGCACGGCGACCACGTTGACGGTGGCGAGGCTGAGCACCGGGTAGAGCATCATCTTCTGCGGCGCGATGTGCTCGCCCTGCATGCTGACCTCGCTGAGCGCCACGCAAGGTAGCACGAGCAGCAGCATGTAGCAATAGAAGAAGGTGAGACCCTCGGCCCACAGCGGTAGCCCTGTGCGCGGCGGCTCCCACAGGTTGGCCTGCATGTCCAGCAGGTCCAGCAGGTCGAGCGCCACCCAGAAGAGGCGACCGCGCAGATCCTCGCGCTTGCGGAAGGTGCGCACGTACTCCATGCGGTCGAGTGCCACGAGGAGCAGGAAGAGGCCGGGCACGCACACTGACAGCAGCAGGGTCAGCGCTTTGCGCGTCAACGGGTCGGCCACGCCACGCCGTGCTGCCTTGTAGTTCTGGAAGATGAAGTAGAGCTTGATCTCCAGCACGAAGATATAGAGGAACCAGAGGATCATGGCGTAGCCACGCTTGGCCGTGCGCACCTCGGCGCCCACCCACACGGCCACGTAGCGCAGCACCAGCAGGAAGCACACGTCACCCACCAACACAATGATGCACACGCCGATCTTGCGTGGACCCTGGTTCTGCTCCACCAGGTATGCGTCCATGACCGCCATGCTGCCCATGATCACCAGCGTGGTCAGGCACACGTGGCGCCGGTCCGGGGGCGGCAGCACCATGGTCGGCCGCCCGGGCCCCGGCCTCGGCGCGCGCGGCACCCACGCGAGGCGAGGCGAGGTCCTGAGGCGGACCTGGAGCGCGGTGGCAGCGCTCAGCCCGCGGGCATGGCCCGGCGCGGCCTGGCGCTGGACCTATGCCGTTGCCCCGAGGACGCCACTGCTCCTGGCTGGAGAGCTCAGCACCTGGGGAAGACCAGAGGATACAGGGTCAGGGCGCAGCCCAGGGGCGGCCTCAAGAGCTGGTGGGGCTGGGCACGCGGCGGCCTTTCCACCCACGCGGAGTGTATTCTGCGCAGGGCCTTCCCAGCGGCACGCCCGGGGGTCGGGAAGCGAGGCCTCCAGGGGGCGCTCCAGCCCCACCTGAGGGACCGGAGACCTCATTCCCGCCATCCTTTGGAAGGATATGGAACGGAAGTGGTTTCTCCCCGCCACGCGCGCGTCCCCGGAGCCCCGCTGGTTTGTCACTGCTGGACCCACGCCGCCGTCCCTCCTGGCTCTGAGAACCAGCCTGAGGCTGTTACCAGCCTGGGTTCCAGGAGTCCTCTCTCCCAGCCAGTGCCTCACTGGGCAGGAAGGCCGGCTCCCAGGATGCCAGAGGCCCAAAGAGACCCCCATCCCTGGAGATGGGGCTCTGGGAAGGCTTTCTGCCCCAGGACTGAGGGTCATTCAAGTCCTGGCGATTCTGCTCGCTCCTCCAAACCTCCCTACTCCTGCGTTGCAGCCCCATCCTCTCTCCTGCTCTGGCCAACTCAGTCTGGGCCCTTCCTACCCAGGCAGGCACATGGTGGATCGTCAATTGCCCTGCTCCCACCATGGCTCGCCATTGCCTTGGGTCCCTCGGCTTCTCTTGGCCGCATCTACTGCCCTGTACACCCCACACCCCCCACGCTGAGACACTCACACTGCCCCGCTCACTTTGCAGGAGTGGTCTCCTGCCCACTTGGTCCCCCACCACCTGCAGAGACAATGCCCCCTAACATCCACTGTGGCTCCCACTGGACTTCCCCAGCCCCGCACACGCCTCTGTCACGCCAGCCCTGGTTGTCATTGCTGCCTCATCTATCCTTCTCCCATATCAGAGTTCGAGTCTGCACACCTGGCCCTGTCTGGGAGACCCCACACCCTCACCCACCCGAAAGTCACTGGCAGGCTCACAGCCAGCCAGGCCTAGGTCCCTCTCTCTGCCCTCCCTTCCGAAGCCCTCTGGCCTAGGGCCTCTATTGACTGCCCTGTCTAGACAAGAATGTAAAATTTAATGTCACCCATGACCGTCAAGCACTCAGGCCAGCCCTGGTGACACCACAGCCCTGCTGACCCCGGAAAGCACAGGCCAGGCATCCAACAGGTACAGACTATGCCCTCCTTGAACTCAGGCCCTGCCCCCACCCAGCACCTGCCCCCCAGGAGTCCCCCAGCCACACATATGACCCCTAACTGTTCTGTGAGTCCAAATCCTCAGGTAGGTCAGTGGTCCATGGTCCGTGCCCCGTGCCTCAGCGGATCCACTTTTTCCCCCTCCCCACCTACACAGTCACCTGTTTTCACACCCGTGGGTAGACACTCCTGACCCAGGAAGCCCACCCCGGTTCTACCTGGGCCTTCTCTGGCTGCAGGCGCAGCCTGGGGGATTTCCTTCTTCTCAGCCCTTCTCCAGGCCAAATAGCCGCTGCTCCACGAACCCTTTCCGCCCCATTCACCCCTCCGTGTTCCCCCTCGGTCTGTCAGTCAATCGTCAAACCCGCTCTGAGCGCTCTGTGCTGATGATTTGGCAGGCACCATCCCCACTGCGAGCTCGCAGAGGGAGCCTGTCGCCCGCCGGGAAAGCCAGCGCCTGGGCGGGCCACCCCTCCCCCACTCCCTACCGGCCTGTCTCCCTGGGGATCTGGCCCCAGGCCCACCCAGCACGGTCTCCCAAGCGCGCCCGAGTGTCCCCAGGCCCCACTGCCCGAGAATTCTGCAGCCTCCAGGCCCTTCACTCCCCCCTCCCCGCCCCGCGTGGATCGCCCCTAGAGCTCCCCACCCCAATGCACAGAGGGGAGAGGGGCTGGGGAAAGGAGGGGGCTGGCAAGGCGGAGACCCGCGGTCACGAGGGGCTCAGCGGCTCGGAACCTATTCGTCTTGCCCCACCAAAGCGTCCCCAGCAGGGCCTGGCCACCACCACCCTCCGGGCCCGGTCCTCACCGGCAGCTTCGGGCCCTCCCCATCTCCCGGCCTCGGGGGTGGAAGTGGGGGTGGGCTCGCCCAGGCCCGGCCGGCCGCGCCTCCGGCCCAGCGCCCCAGCTCCGCGCCTACCCCGCCGCTGGCGGATGCTGCGCGGACCCAGCCGCCCCGCCGAGCGCCTCTGCGACGGGCAGCGGCTGCTAGGCTCGGGTCGCTCAGGTCGCTCGCGCCCCGCCCGCTGCTGCGCTGCGCCCCGCCCCCATCCTCTACCCCGCCCCTCCGCCCCGCGCCCCCTGCCGCGCAGAGGCGGCCCCGGGGACCCGGCAGGGTGGGGGGACTGAGGGGAGCGATCCTGGGCCCTACGCAGCGCCTGTCTCCACGGCGACAGCAGTGCGCAGCAGCGGCGCCCAGGACTGTGGTGCCGGGAGGCTGGACACCCCTAGGATCCACCAGCACCCCAAGGCCCCCTGAGGCCTCCTCTCCACGCCTTCCTCACCCACCGCCGGTGAATCGCCCGCTGCCCCTCAGCCCTACTGACTCCCTGAATTCCTCCGCAGCTCCCGGGGCTCAGACCCAGGCGGCCCACTGGGACACACAGGCCCCACTCACCACCAGCAGGCAGCCTGGGGACCCCCTGCCCGCGCCCCCAGGGCTGGCCGGGAGGTGGGGGCGGGGCCGGCTGCCGGGCTCACTGCGGTTGGCCCCATGGGACCTCTGTGGTGGCCAGACAGCGGCCAGGGGGAGGGCTACCGAGGGGACAGAGCAGGAAGGCGGTGGGGCCTCGGTACTGCCTCTGAGAGCTTGCCCTCCGTCCAGCCCCACCTGGGGGCTGGGGTCCTCTATTCCCTGCAGGGAGAAATCCAGGCATCCAGGGCTTATCCTGAGCTCAGAGGAGGGGAGTGTGGCAGGCCTGCATCTGCTCCAGCCTATCAAGGGGGCAGGCTTGAGTCTGGGGACTCAGGGTTCATTTCCCCCCTCCTGAGTCCCCCCTGTCGCGCCAAACCCCACCACTCCCATCCCTGTTTGTTCATCCTGAGGGAGGAGGCTGTCTTGTGTGAGCCAGAAGACAGGGAGCACACCTCCTCCCTGCCCATCAGGTGCCAGTCTGCACCCAGGGCTCCTCTCCCCTCAGAATGCTCCCACTACCCTTTGATGGAGGAACTGTCAGATAAGTGAAGAGACAACCAGGACCCCACAGCTGCGAACTACTGGAGCCCAGCTCCAACCCAGGTCTGCTTCAACAGTGGTCCTGTACAGTGCCCATGTCTGCACAAGTGCCAGCGTCTGTGCAGGTGGGCCGGGTGTGAGCAGGGGCCTGGATCTGAGTAAGGGGCCTGGGTCTCAGGAAGTGCTGGGGACAGAGTGCATTCATTAGAGGCCAGTGGGAAGCATGGGGAGCAGGCCGTCCTGGGCCTTCCAGGAGTGGCCTAGATGGGGCACTGGGAGATGCTTATTAGGGTGAACCCTCAGCATGCAAGGCTGGGGGAAACCAGCTAACCCAACACACAGACACACACACACACACACACACACACACACACATGCATGCACGCACATGCACGCACACACACACACACAAGCACACGCATGCACGCACACACGCACGCACACGCACACAAGCACACACATGCACACACACGCGCACACATGCACACACATGCACGCACACACACATGCACGCACGCACACGCACACACATGCACGCACGCACATGCACACATTTTCCATGTCTCCACCTCTCATTCACCCTTCCCGCCAAGGTAGACATGTTCGCTTCCTGTGCTCACCTCCTCAGGGCAGACGCATGCCTCGTAGAGAGCCGAGCACAGCAGAGTCTGAAAGGTGGGACGACTGGGGTGCTGGGAGGAGGGCCAGGCCCCAGCCCCACTTGCCATCCCTACAAGAAGCACCCAGGCCCTTCCTGCTTCAGGGGAGACAAAGCTGTTACCTGACAATGCATGAGGGGGGCTCCTGGCCCCATCCCTCACCTGCCCCACAGCCTCCCCACTCCCAGTGACTGCTCAAGGCCCCGTGGGTAGAAGCAGACCACACCAGTGCACAGCCCTCCAGGACCATGGGTGCTGGGGGCCAGGCCCATGGGGAGCCCCTCCAACTGGAGGGAGACCCAGAGAGGGGAGGTGAGGCCCGTGGCCACAGATTTGAAAGGCCAAGTGGAACTTCCCAGGTCCTAGCACATCCCCTCCACAATATCTCACCTCTCCACCCTCTCTTCTCCATCCAGACTTCAGGAACCCCTTCTCGTCTCAGTTCTCAGTTACCACTAGCCTCAGGTCCTCCCACCCGCCAGTCCTTTCTCCCACTCAGTAGCCGGGGTCATCTCCCCAACCTGCCCGCCTGATTGTGTTTCTCCCCTGCTTCAGACCCATTGTGGCTCCCCATGGGCCTTGACAAAAGGACCAAACTCCTCAGCCTGAAGTAAAGTCCCCACACCCCCAGCTCTGGCCCTGCCAATTCCCATTTTTCTACCTTGGACTTTTTCCATGTGGCTCTCTCCGGCTGGGACACTAGCACCCTCGCTTCTGCCTGCAGACCTGACCCTGTGCCACCTCCCTCTGGATGAAGTCTCCATCGGCCTGAAGTCCCAGTCAGCTGCTACCTCTGCCTCAGCCCAGGCCCTCCCCTTAGCTGTGCCCTCCCCCAGCTCTCACTCCCTGAGATCAGCAGAGAGGCCTCTGTGCTCCACTGGGCTCGGAACTAGGAGGGTAGTTCCAGGTTTGATCATACCCACATCCACCCAGGCCAGCCCCAGGAACCTGCCCTTGGAGGGCTGATGGAGCCGAACTCCATCTGCAAAGAAGTCACAAGGGAGCTCCAGTAGG